ATCTATCTATCTATCTATCTATCTATCTATCTATCTATCATCTCTTTCTCTCTCTCTCTCCCTATCTATCCACAAAAATTAAGGAACAAATGGGTTACTTAAACTTTGCAGCTATTGGACCATTAAAAAAGGAAAAGAAGTCTCACTCCCAAATAGGCCATCTTTGTATTATTTTTGGTATTTAAGGGATAGATGGGCACCTTGGGCCTCTGAAGGTTGAAGGTACCTATAAAACCTCACCCAAGCACCTAAATGCCACTCACCAAAGGCTCTGCATAGGGCATTTCTTCATAGCCCCCTTCAGTCTCCCATGTGTAAATGAAACAGGCTGTAAATAAAACAGGTTTAAGAAATCCACTTCCAGATGTGATGACTTAATGTTCTGTCTGATTGTGTTTCCCTTGTTCCTTGATTGGTGGATTCTCCACTTCTTTAACTCCCTGGACTTGTGAAAAAAAGAAAAGAAATAAAACTCCACAGTTTCCCCATTTTCCCTGTCATTTGGAGTAGAAGGTTCACTATTCTATCAGGGAGCTTGTTTAAAAAAAAAATCATTGTTCCATTAATGAACTTGTAAAAAAAGCCATATGTTCACCATTTCAGGAGAACTTGTAAAGAAACAATAAGAAATGTAAAAATAAGAAATAATAATAAAAAATAAATAAAGTAAGGAAAGAGTTATTTTCGGCTGGTCAAACTGAGTCAGCTCATTTGGAGGCTTCAAGGTACATCAACTCAGTTTTTTAGTTCAGGTGTGATCTCAGTGCTTCAGTGGTTTGAACTGCTGTGCTTCCACATGAAGTGCAATCTCTATGCCCAGGCCTACAAATGTCATATGTATTTTGGCCCTTAATTTGCTCAATCTGTGCCCTTGGATTAAGTTGCAGGTATATCAGATGGCTGCATATTTTCCCATAAGTAGTTCCTTTAAAAATGCAAATGATATTCACAATTATCAGAATTATTTTTTAAATGATAGTCTTTTTTTGTTTCTGAACTTGCTCAGTGTCTCCATCCATTGTGGGTGCAGATAATGATGGGGGTGCAGAAGAAGCCACGGTTATCTTAAATAACCCAACCTCCTTGGTTTGTGAGGCTTATTCATATCCACCTGCCATAGTCACTTGGCTGAAAGATGGAGCTCCCATAGAGTCAAACAAGAACATCAGGATTTTGCCAGGTAATTATTTTATTCCCTCCATGATTTAAACTAAAACACTATCTCTACTATTTTTTTTACATTCATAAGTAAGCTTTAGTATATTTTCTGAAGATGTCTGGGTAGACACTGACTAAATATATTATAATTACTATAATTGCTCAGAATAATTTTGCATATTTTGGCCTCCTGCTTGTTGAACCTATCAATATACCAAGTCTTGGGTTTTATCTTGTACTACTAACCAGATTAACAATGGCTTGAAAAATTCACCTTCCTGTATGAAGGGATAGAATTCACTTGCATATCACAGGCAGGAACCAAGGAATACAGAACTTGACAGGGCCTCTCCCTTATCAATTTCTCTCAGCACTTGGCATACTTAGAATGATAGGAATCCAGCACTGGTGCTGGAATCCAGCACTGGTTGAAAAGTATTTTATTTCTACTTCTTCCTAGTGTTCTTTCCTAAACATCAGTTTTCACATGTTCTGAAATAAGAATAGTTCCTTCTTTCAGTATAATACCTAACTTCGTAGAGTTCCTGCTCATTTCAGAAGAAAATATACAAAGAGAACCGGGAAAAATGTAACTTGACTTTTTTTTTTTTTACAGGTGGTCGAACGCTACAAATTCTGAATGCACAGGAGGGCAACTAAAATATACAAAGAGAACCGGGAAAAATGTAACTTGACTTTTTTTTTTTTTACAGGTGGTCGAACGCTACAAATTCTGAATGCACAGGAGGGCAACTAAAATATACAAAGAGAACCGGGAAAAATGTAACTTGACTTTTTTTTTTTTTACAGGTGGTCGAACGCTACAAATTCTGAATGCACAGGAGGGCAACTCTGGTAGATATACTTGCATAGCTACAAATGAAGCAGGGGAAACGTTAAAACATTATGAGGTGAAAGTCTATAGTAAGTGTTGAAGCATCCTTTCTTGCTCAAATTCATTATGTATTGTTTGATTCTCTACCATCTCTTTATATACATCTCCTACCTTACTTGCATATTTTTTCAGTATGTATATACATTTCATTGTTTGTTTTGTTGCATTTATATCAGGGAGTGTGAGGCCAAATTAGATGTTTCATTGGAGATGCTATGAGAGTCTTCTATACATTTGAAGAAAGTAGTAGTAGCTATAGATTTGAGGAAAGCAAAAACTGTTTATTTCTCCTCAATAATTCATTAGGGATTTGGGGGGGGGGGTTAAGGATTCTTGTTGGCCATGCTATTCTTTATCCTGAAGTTATAAATCCCTTCCCATAGTAAAACAAGGAACACAGACTTCCTAACTGAATTAAATTAAGACACACATGAAAAGCCACTCTGTCTGATCTGTAGGCAGGACAATGGCCCAATAATACCTGCTTGGAATGGCAGGAACACTCCAAGATCTCAGGCCAAAGACTTCTTACAGAAGATGATGATGATGATGATGATGATGATGATGATGATGATGATGATAATTTATTAAACTTATATGCCACCTGATGCTTTAACAGAAGATGCAAGAGATGCAATCTTAGAATTTATGTTCGCAGAACACTGAACTACAAGTTCTCTTTCCAATATTAACTGCAATTAATTAATTAACTGGGTTTAATTAACTGCACTGAGTAAATGCAGGTACACAATGATAACATTTCAACTTAAAATGATATTAGAAAAATCAAGTATTGTTGAATGCATGATTATTAGTTGTTAAAGCTGTCTCAAATCACCCTTAGGCCATATTTTAGCAATGTGAAAGGGCATCATTCATATCATTAGACAAGCATTCCAGCTGGTGCAGATTTTAGAGATGGTTACCCCTAGAGACAGTGTCATGATTCATTTCCTTTTTGTGGAAACAGTGATATGGTTTAGGCTAGAGGTTGCTGGGCTCCAACTTCTACCAGCCCTACTCAGCTTTGGCAGTGATTGGAGATGATGGGAGTCTAGCAACACTGAGTAATAAAGATTATAGATTCCCCGTCCCTGTCATAAATAATGATGGCACCATAGGAAACGTCGCATTAGTATTGCTTTGGTTTGTTTATTCCTTTACTTTAGTAGTTTAATAATATTTTTTTTTTTAGAAACAAAGAGTTACTGAACATTTCTTGTTAATTGTATGTAATTTTAATCATCTATCAATTCTCATCCACTTGTGTGAGTTGCAAATTGGCCTAGAAATAAATGATACCAGTGTTGCCCAATACTTTGGTATCCTCATCCATCAGTTTATGTTTCCCAATGAAGAATTTGCTTATGTGAATTGACTATACAGGCCTATTTATGGTTCTGTCTAGTCTAGTGTTGTCCAAACTTGGCTACTTTAAGATGAGTGGACTTCAACTCCCAGAATTCCCCAGCCAGCCATGTTGGGGAGTTGAAG